TGATAATTCGCAAAATAAGGTGATTTTTAACTACTTGACCGTGATTTGAAAACAGTGTCATTATAATCTTAGGTAGAAGCATGTGGAACATAAGCAAGAATTTTTCCAATGAAACTTGTTTATCATCTTGATACTTGACAAAAAATTGACCCACCGGCGTCACCAAGGCATCCCCACCGATCGATCTAACGTGACGTTGTTATGTGGGTGTTTTATAGATTATTGAGAATAGTAATATCAAGATAAGATGACAGTTGAATGACAACAAAGACAACTGAAGACAATAGTTCGTCATTAAGTTCCTATTTCTGGCTTAATATTGTAATGCAGCGGGAATTCTCAGAGGATAAATGTGCAACTTGTTGGTGACGTACTGTATTTGTCTGTCTTCCTTTGTTCTTTGTCTTCTTGTCCGTTTTGTTTTTGTCATTGTTTGGGCTTTGCCCCTCCCTTGCATGTCTAATCCTTTGAATATCCACTTGTCTGGGGAGATTTATATGTTTCCTTTTATTTTTCGAAATCACAATTTATACACATTTTATATTTTTATATTGTATATATTTTTGATATTTGAATGAATAAAACAGCTCGTTATTGTCACATGATTTTTCAGGCAACTAGTTACACTTTTTTGCAAGCCTGTTCTGCAAAATATTGTTTTTGTTTGTTCTTGCAATCAACTACGGAAGCTTAAAGTGACCTTCTGAGTTTCCGAGTTTCCAAGATAATTATCTTGGAAACATGGAATAAACACTTATTAAGACGTCTTTCCGAGATAATTTATCTCGGAAAGACGTCTTCCCGAGATAACGTATTTTGGAAAGACGGAATTCCAAGATAACGTATCTTGGAAAGACGGAATTCCAAGATAATTGATCTTGAAAAGATGGAATTCCAAGATAAGTATCTTAGAAAGATGGAATTCAAAGATAACGTATCTTGGAAAGACGGAATTCCAAGATAACGTATCTTGGAAAGACGGAATTCCAAGATAAATTATCTTGGAAAGA